AACCCACACTGGTGAGAAACCTTTTGCCTGCTTAGTTTGTGGCCAAAGATACCCTAGGAAGGCAACCTTAATAATACACTCGAGAACCCACACTGGTGAGAAACCTTTTGCCTGTTCAGATTGTGGCCAAAAATTCTCTGAAAAGAGAACCTTAAAAAGACACACCAGAAAACACACTGGTGAGAAACCTTTTTCCTGCTCAGTTTGTGGCCAGAGATTCTCTAGGAAGGGACACTTAAAAGTACACACCAGAACACACACTGGTGAGAAACCTTTTGCCTGTTCATATTGTGGCCAAAGATTCTCTAGGAAGGGACACTTAAAAGTACACACCAGAACACACACTGGTGAGAAACCTTTTTCCTGCTCAATTTGTGCTCAAATATTCATGCGGAAATCTCAGATTAAGAATCACAAGTGTCATGATGAGATGAACAGTGATCAATGAAATTTTCCATTCTCACCGAATCAGGCTTCATCAGGTAAATTGTATTTCATCATTCTTATTTAGATGCTGAAGTTTTCTTTTCCTTAAGTGCATTGAACAGTGTTTTTTGTTGTTGTGATAATGAATTAGAATATTTGCATTGTCAATGATGTTATACAGTAATACTTTTGGGTTCTTCATTTTATATATATATATATATATATATATACACATACATATATATTAGTGCTGTCAGTTTAGCGCACTATTATCCACATTAAGTGAAATGAATTTTAACGTGATTAAATTATTTCTCGCGTGATTAAAAAGCAGCACACGTCACAGCGGATGTTACGTTGCTCAATAAATAAACCAGAAACAAAACAGCAAGCGCTCTGCACAGGTCCAAGCACGTTTGTTTTGCCACAGCAGCGCGAGACACTGAAAACAGATACTTAAAGAGTTTAGGAATGGAAAGTTTACTTGAAATAAGTTGCCAGATTATTCCACTGACAAGACCAAAGTTACCTGTATGTTTTACAGTCGTAAACTGAGCTACTATCATCATAGCACGTTGAGTCTGAAATACCACTGAATGGCCAAGCACACAGCTGATGTGAGTACTCCTCCCCCTCCTCTAAGACAGACAGCTATGGATCATTTCAAATCAAAGAAACATAGATGGCAATTTTCCACGGATCCGCGGAAATCCGCCGTTTTATTTCTTAAATTGATCATTTTTGTGAATCGTCTAAATCCGTTGAGAAAATTTTAGGGGCGGTCAGGTACCTTATCGTCGAGTTTTCACGAGCTCTCCCGAACAGTCTCTCCGTTTTCCGTTTGTAAACAGCCCTGCGATTGGACGTGTATGAAAGCTTCAACTAATCAGATCACTGAAGGCATTATTTGTTGCGGAAGTCTTAGCTCGATTATA